GCTGCTACTTGTGCTGGGCTTGGAGATTCCCTAGTGAAGCCAAGCTGTGACTCTGGGCTGGCTGCTGCTAGTGCCAGGCTTGGGGCTCACTGAGGCCAGCTGTTGCTTGTTTCAGAAGATTTAGGAAGTTGTGAAGCCTGAGCCAAGGCCAGTCGTTCTTTTGGAAAAGCAGCTTGGGTGGGCCCGTAAATTGGGTGGGGTGGAGTCTCTGGGGATCTCCAAGGCGGGTCACACAGTGTTAGGGAGGTTGATGGAATCTCAGATATGGCACCAGCTTGCCAGCTCTGTGGGGGGAGAGTTTAGGAAAAGGGTATGGCCCCTGCTCGCCCTGATGCCTGCCGCTTCAGTGTCTCCCTGTGTACCACTCACTGGTGCCTTTCCAGCTGCGATCCCGGTGCTGGAGCTCAGAGGGAGTGAGTCTGAGTAGGTGAGTCCGTGGTGGGTTCTTTAAGAGGAACTGCTTGGGGCTCTAGCAGTTTCTTCCACTGATTCAATCCCTGATGGGTTTGCAGCCAGAGTTGTGGGGGTTTATCTTCCTGGCACTGGAACCCTGGGCTGAGGGGGCCTGGTGTGGGGCTGGGATTCCTTGCTCCTGATATATCCCTCCCAAATTTTTATCCACCACATGTGGGTGAGGGGCCAGCCAATTCTGCGTCTGCGCCCCTCCTACCAGGCTGGATGGGTGTGGTCTCGTTAATTCTGTAGTTGTCAGATTCCATTCAACTCGATTTCTGATGTTCTGAGTGATGGTTGTTCTGTATTTTAGTTGTAATTTTGCTGTGGTTGTGTGAGGAGGTGAGTGATGTCTGCCTGCACTGCCATCTTGTCTGGAAGCCTTAAATGAGGTTTTTAAAATGAGGAACAAAGTAATCGCTAGAGATGAACACATGTGTAGGTATGAAAATACATGATATCATCCATCTCAATGATCTCTGAGTTGTAGGTTTATTGAGTTAGTTTCTTTCCTTTACTTTTTCCTGTATTCTCCAAATTTTCCATAATAGGTAAATGTTTCTCTTAAACCCAGAAAAAATGAACATTTAACTTTTTTAAAGACAGTATCATCAGAAATGTTTACTGATCCATTTCTCAGTGGTGAAGTATGAAGCACATCACAAAGTTCATTACCAAACACTCAGCTGTCCGTCTTCTGGAGTCTGACGGGGCCTGTCTGTGTGGAAGGGCATGAGAGAGGGAGAAGTGGGCCCGCAGTACGAGTGGTGGAAAGAGGAGGAATCAGGGGCCCTTGGAGGAAGCCCCCCCGCTGGCAGGAGGCGGAGAGGGAGAGGAAAGTGCGACACCCTCTCTGGCCCACCGCTGGTTCTCGCCCCTTCCCAGGACAGAGCGAGAAATGTCACAGCTCACAGTCGAGTTGGGAGACAAGGGTTAGTGAAGCCAGGTTCACAGAGGGTCAGCGATGGGGATGTCCAGTGACGGGAATGTCCAGCAGGGAACCCAGTCAGACTGCAGGTTCAGGGGTGGCCCTTGCACAGATGGTTAAGCAGAAGTCCAAGGACATTTGGTGAAGAGGGACCACAGTGGGCCCTCGAGGGGGTCCTGGGACTGAAGAGGCTGTGAGTCCTGAGTTGTGGGCCAGGGTGGGCAAGGTGGCACGGGAATGCTTGGTGGCTCTGGGAGTCACTGCAGGAGAGGTGGGCTCCAGAGTGCATCCTGGTCTCTGAAGTTCTTAGTGTCCCTCACAGTGAAAGATGACGGTCTGGCTTCTGGACACTGCCTGCAGCACTGGGAAGGGCCTGCAGCTGGGCTGCTTACTGTCTCCGTGACCTTGGGCTTGTCTGTGGACCTCTCTGAGCCTCGGGTCCCCCAACTCTGCAGGGAGGACGCTCACAGGAGGTAGCACATCGGTGGCGTGGCCACATGGAGAAAGTTGCTCTGGGGTTTTTCTGAATTTCACTCAGTGGGCATCTGTTGCCAGGAAGTGTTCCAGGAATCCAGGGCTGGGCAGGGTGAAGGGAAAACCCCTAGATGGCAGTCAGTCATTTCGGAGGGATGGACTATCATGCAGGCGGGTATCCACCAGCCCCGGCTGGCCACCGGACAGCGGTGAGGCTCCTTAAGAACGCACTGCCTGCAGGTGGCCGCACACACATTCTCGCGTGTTGAGGGGGTTGGGTGTTGCTGTTTCTGCCCTTTGTGGGGCTTTCTTGTTCTTAGCTGGTGGAATCTCCCCACATCCTCCGGGAGCCCCAAGGAAGTGGTGTAGTGGCTGTGGACCTCTAGGCCTGCCACCCTCCAGTCAGAGTTTCTGCAGACACTCTTCTCCCTCCTGGAGAAGGCCAGAGACTCGGGCAGATGCCCGTGTGCCGGGGACAAGGGTGCCTCTTGAGCCCCAGACTCCACAGTGTTTGGCAGGAGGGGAGGCTCTGGATTTGAGGGGTCCCTTTCAAAGGAAGTGCACCCATGAGAGCGGCTGTGTTCAGGGGGTGAGGCCCCCATGCCCCGTGGCTGAGGGCCAGGAATGCCCCAGGCTTGTGTCCCTCATCTGCCATCTGTCCCTCCTCAGTCTGGTTTTCCGGCTGCACCCTGCTCTGGTCCTCCATTCTGCCGCTCCCCCTCGGGGGCGACCCGGGTGGGCCAGGAGCCGAGCTGCCGATGCTGGTTTCTCTCGGAGGCGCCAGGTGCTGCCTTGTTCTCAGCGGCAGGCTCCGGCGTCCGGCACCTGAGGCTCGATCCAGGAGCTTCGGTCCCTCTGAGCGAGAGCAGTGGGCAGTACCGGCCTTTCTCTTGACCCTGTCCTTGAGTCCCAGCCAACAAGGGCTAGGCCCTGCCCACTGGCTGCTGCGGCTTCACAGGTAGCCAAGAAATCTGCCACAGCCCTTTTGTCCACCAGAACAGCCCCCAGAGTCAGGTCCGAGGAAGTGGGCAGGACTGTCCTCCTACCTCATGTGGATCCCGCTCGGTGTTTGTGTGCTCTGCTCCCCACTGTCTCTGCAGACCTGACTTCTGTTCTGGACTTCCCAGCTCACAGAGGGGGAGGCGAACACCTCCCAGCAACCCAGGGTACATGTTACAGCTTCACCAGAGCCTCTGTGCACTGGGGGCAGAGGAACGGGGGCGGGGGGACAGGGTCCTGGTTCTGCTAAGACAAGACCACTGGGGCCTCAGTGAGGTTATCATCCAAGACTTCTCCCTGCACCCCAGCCTCCTAGGCCAGTAACAGGGACTCGGGGTGAAATTCAGTCCCCGAGACAGCTGCTCCCCAACAGTGCACCTCAAAACTGTCAAGGGGAAGGTACCTCCCAGACCCATCTTGGCCAGTCTGAATTCTCGTGGCACTGTGGGCGTCTGGCTGCTCCCGTCTCAGCAGCCCCACCCACGCCTCCTGTTCCTAGTGTTGTGACCTTGGGCAAGTTACTCTCCCTCTCCAAGCCTCAGAGTCCTGATCTGTGAGGTGGGGATAAGAATAGTGCCTGCCCCCAGTGTCGCTGCAGCCAACAGGACAGTGAGTGGACACCCTCCCCTTCCTCACCCCCACCCGTCATCCCACCACCACCATCATCATCATCACCGCCTTCACCCGCTGTGGGACTGCAGTGGTGTGCTCCGTGGTTGCCAGTCCACATCTTTGAGGACTGTGTGGGAAAGCCCTTAGTTGTCTCGCAGTCAGCAGTCGACAAACAGCAGCTGCTAGTTAGTGCCAGGAAGCCAAAACCCCCGGGAAAACACTCCATGGGCAAAGCCCAGGGGCCTGGAGGGGGCCCCACCCCAGGGGATCCGGGCCTACAGACTGAGTGGCCATCCAGCCCCGCAGGCGCCGACCAAGTCCATCCAGCTGGAGCTGCAGCAGACACCTACCAGAAATGGAGCCTTCGGAGAGGAATGCCAGGGAGCCGCCCCCGCATAGCTGGCTTTGAACCTGGGCCAGGCCCGGGGCAGATTCTACCACTTGGGCCACCTTAGCCTCTCCCCACCCTGAAACGTGTGGGAGGAGCTTGGGCTATGGAGTGAGTCAGGCAGACCGGGGTTCAAACCCTGCCTAGCCAGGCCCGTTGTCCCCACCCCCCTGCCTCCACCCCTCTCGGTGCTGAGCCTCAGCCCCACCTCGTTCTGGGGCAGGTAGTAGCTTGGACAAAGCCCCAGTGAGAGAGTACATGGCCTGGGCCCGGGGGCGCTCACCAACTGGTGACTACCCCGAGACTGCCTCGGTGACCCCTGCGTCCCTGCACACTCCCGCCAGCCCAGGGGGACGTGGGGAAGACGCTGATCTAAAGCTCCTCATCAGCACACGTCACTCCTGCCAAACTCCTGTTACATGTGCAGCCACGGACTGTCTCAAAGAGGGGACAGAGGAATGGAGAGAAGGGGGCAGCACCCACCCTGTCACCTGTCTGAGAAACTACTGGTGCTGGTGGACAGACCGCTGCTGTCACACATTGCCCTGGGTGCAGGGGAAAGAAGCCTCTGAGTCGGAAGGTGGAGAGAAGGGGCCAGAGGCTTCAGCTCCGGGAAGCCAGGCTCCGGCGGCACTGCACCAGCAGTGGCTCCGCAGGAATTCAGATCAAACAGGAGACTCCCACCGCGCACAGAGGACATCACCAGGGCGCTGTTCGCCCGCAAACCCTGCCCCAATTCATAAGAAACCCCTGGGGGCGGCCGGGAGGGGAGCAGCCCTGAGGGTTGGGGGCTGTGGCGTGTTGTGGCGTCTCACCTGGCTGTGAGGTGCTCAGCATTACAGGTCATGGTCAGAGCGCTGGCACTTTTCAGAACAGAGCTGGTTCCCTGCTTTCTGCGGGGCCTCCTGCTCACTCACTGCACTGCAGCCACTTGAGGAAACAATCACCTGGGGTCCTGGGGCCTTGCCCGGATGGAGGCTGTGGGGCTGTTTGTTCATGGGCCTGGCAGCTCAGATGGGCCCCAGACCTGACCCAGGGGCTGGGGTGGGGCAGAGTTGGGGCTGGGGCCCCTGAGCCGACGGCCACAGTCCCAGACGCTCTTGTCTCCCCAGACCGGCGCTAAAACTTCGCCTTTTTCCTCTGAAGCAGGGGACGTCTCTACGCCACCCTGGGGCCCAACTGGCGGGTTCCCATTCGGAATTCTCCCAGAACCCGGAGCTGTGTCTACAGGTATTTCTTTATTCACACATTTGTCTGCTCTACAGGTAACTAGAGGGTGCTCGTTGGGTGCCTCCTGGGAAGCTGAGCTCCTGCTTGCTGAGATGGGGCTTAGGACAGAGGTCAGGGCTGGTGCTGCACTTGGGCACCTTTACCCATAGGTGGCGCCCGAAGCCCTGTGGTGAGGGCAAATGAAGAAACCCTGAGGACGAGGTGCTGGGCGTGGTGGGGTGTGCTCCCCTGTGCCCCCTCTCACTTCACCCAAACCTCTCCTACTTCCTTGACGCTCCTCCCAGGCTCCTGCCAACACAAAAAGGAGGGGCTGCATAGTCCACAAGGTCCCCAAGTGCAGAGAAAGCCACCACAGAGGTCAGGATGAGGTGTGAGTGCTGCGAGGCACCTCAGTTACAGGCAGCTTGGCCACCAAGCATCGTGCTCTGCAGCGCTCACACAGATGAGGGTGGTGAGAGTTCCCAGGGCCACCATCCTTCACACTCTCTGCAGCCTTGAGGTCCTCCCGTCCCAGCCTGGCCCCAGCACTGTGAGCCCTCCGGGCCGTGGGAGCATCATGAACCCCAGTGAGTGAGAGGGTGCCCGGCCCCAGCTCCTCCAGGGGGGTCTGACCAGTGGTCTTCCCACAGCCCCACTGGCCCGTGCATCTGTACACTGGGGAGCTCGGCAGCAGTGCCCACCATGGAGGGGCCTCTGAGAAGGAAAACGCTGCTCAAGGAGGGTCGGAAGCCCGCGGTGAGTGCAGACAGACCTTGGTCCAGAGGCAGCACAGGCCTCCGCGAAGGCCTGGGCCCCAGCCCTGGCTGTGCCACTGAGTGGGGGAGGAACTTGGCTACCACAGCTGCACATCGGGATAGAATAGTACCACCATCCTAAAGGACTCAGCGAGAGTGTCACGTGCATGGCAGTGCACGCACTGAGCACGCAGTGAGTAGGGCTGGGTGATTATCCTGGGGACAAGTGGAAGCCTGGAGACCTAGGGAGTGGTGAGGGGGTACTGCACCTGAGACGGCAACGCAGCCCAGGAGAGTCTCAGACCCAGTCCTCTCTCCCTCTGGCAGCCGCACAAAACAAGTCACAAGACACAGGGACAAGGAATCAGGAGGCCTTTCGGGCTCCACCGCTAGCCCCCAGGCCGCCCACGCTGGACCCAGATGTCACTGGCCCATGGCCCTGACCCGTGGCAGGGCCTTAGTCCCTTGCAAAGGCCTCTCTGTTTTTTCCACCCATGGCAAGCTGCCCGCACACTCACTGTGAGCTGGGTCGCCAGGCAGCGTGTGCTTGTATCTGCTCTGCCTTCCTCTCCTGCTCTGGCCCCTGCCTTCCGCCGTCCACTGCCCAAAGAGCCCCTTGGAGGTGCCCCCTCCTGCCAACACCCAGGAAGGCGCCAGGGCCCTAGTGCAGCTGCCACCTCCATGCTTTCCTGTCTGCAGGTACCAGATGGTTCCTGCATGAGGAGGAATCTTCCCCCCAGCCCTGGCCATACTCTGTCCTTGGACCCAGAGCATCCCAAATCATCCTGTGACATGGGGCCCTACATCTAGCCTGTTATAGAAACTGCCTGCCTCTCTCCCGTTCTGAGTTCAGGCCTCAGCTACTCTGAGGCCAGAGCAAGGCAGTGAGTGCCCTGAAAGCAGTGTTTTCCCCAGTGCTGGGCAGTCCAGCAGGGGGTGACGCCAGTCCAGGGGTCACGGCCCGTTTTCTTGAGTAGAATAGAAAAGTGATGAAGTCCTTACACCGAGGGAAGGTGAGTGTGTCTCATGAAGCTGCTTCAGTTTGACACACATACATCATGGGCCTGTACACCTGTGGGTGTCCTCACGAAGGCCCGAAAGCTGCTGCTTTCACATTTGTGACAACCCAGTGCCCCCCGCCCCGGCATGGGGAGGGGCCTGTGGGTTGTGATATGCCCTGTCCGCTCAGCCCTCCCCTTCCAAGGTGGGACAGTTGCTTCACCTCTGCAGAAGCAGAAGGCCTGCTGAAGCAATTTTCCCGAACCAAGGAGCGGAGCCCCTGCACGGCCAGTTCACGCCTAGAGACACAGAGCCTGGGCCTACAGCTCAGCCCTGCTGGGTTCCCGCTTCTAGCCCTTCGGTCTCTGCCAGAGCACCCGCCGCAGACACTGTGGTCCCGCTAGGTTATGGTTCCCAAGTCTGTGTCGTTAAAAGTGTTTTTCCCAGGACGTTCTTGGGCCCAGGTCGCCTGGACATTTAGGAACCGAGCCTTGTCACCACCCTAGACAGGGCGAGAGAGGGCAGGCTGTCTGAGTGAGGGGGCGGGGCAGCTTAGGGCTGACCGGAGGGGATAGTCTGCTCCTCCAGGTCTCGGGTGGCCAAGTTGTGGGGGGGGGCGGGCGGGGTCGATCAGGAGGAGGGGCCGGCCTGCCCCCACCACCTGCAGTATTGTCACCTGGCCTCCCCTTCCCATGTAGCTGTCCTCGTGGACCAGGTACTGGGTCACACTCTCAGGATCCACCCTCCTGTACTACGGAGCCAAGTCCTTGCGGGGCACAGACAGAAAACACGTAAGTCCCAGGAGAGGACTCTCCACACAGTGAACAGCAGAGAGTGGGTGGGGCCGGGGAAGGTAGCGGGGTGGGCGGGCAGCCTTCCTTGGGGGGGGGGGGCGTGAGGCTCTGCCATGCTGCTGTTCCTCTCCAGTACAAGTCCACACCTGGCAAAAAGGTCTCCGTGGTGGGCTGGATGGTGCAGCTGCCCGACGACCCCGAGCACCCGGATGTCTTCCAGCTGAGTAACCCCGACAGAGGTAGGCATCGGGCCCAGAGCTGGGTGCCGGCAGCTCCTCTCGACCCTGTTTCCTCCTCTGCTAAATGTGCATTTTGAAATAATAGGAACTATTGAGGTTGCTGCTGTTCCTGTGCTTTAGGTTCTAATGTTCACAGGGTCCCCTCGCTAGTCCTCAAAAGCTGTGTAGATCGTTGTCAGTGCACACAGCGCACGGCTGTAGGAACCCTTTCTGGGGCCCCACGTGGCCACCGGGGCCCGTGACTCCTGGAGCTGTAGCCTCAGGCTCCTGGAATAAATGACATAATGCTGGATGAGTCGGCAACCGTGTGGCTGGACGGGTCCAGGAGATTTCCGGGACACCCCAGACATTCCCGTGCCGCGTCCCGACCAGGGCCAAATCTGAAAAGAGCCCTTTTACCAAAGCTCCAGCGTGAGCTTGCCCAGTGGTCTCCCTGTTCCTCTTGGTTCTGTCCTCAGCCCTGACCATGCTGAGAGGAAGGGAAAGTTCTGGACACCGTCTTGTCCAGGAGTCCTGTCTGCATAGTCATTCAGAAAAGGTCACACTAGTCTCCTCGGTAGCCTGTGTCACATGACAGAACCCTAAGTGCCCAGGCCGTGGACCCTGACCTGCGGAGTAGTTGCAGTTCCTGTGGTCGTGTCTCCCGGAGAAGCCAAGGCGCCTCCGTGTGACACACCATTGCATCGTCTCAGTGCCACTTGTGCTCGTCTCTGAAGTTGCAGGACAGCCTCAGACCCGCCCCTGGGTCTTGTATTCACACGTTAATAAAGAAGTGCAAATAGAACTCCATCACTCATCTGTCACTTAGTAGTTTGATCACTGTATTTCAGTATTGATTTCTCTTGTATTTTGTGTTATGCATTTAAAACCATTCTTCTGAGAAGGGTCCACAGGCTTCACCAGAGCCAGAAAGCACCAGGGGCCATAAAAATGGTTACGAGCCCTGGCCAAAGGGACAGCTCAGAAGCAGGGCGGGGGTGAAGGGCTCCTCTCCAGCAAGCCCCAGCCTTGCCTCCGGCTGCTCCTGACCTTTCTTAGTCTCGTTACCCTCGTCCACACTCATCTTCATGTCACAGTCACGGGCAGACCCTCCTCTGTGACCCTTGTCTCAACCCATGCTTCTCTGCCCACCAGGCAACGTTTACAAGTTCCAGGCTGGCTCCCGGTTCCATGCGATCCTGTGGCACAAGCACTTGGACGACGCGTGTAAAAGCAACAGGCCTCAGGTGAGGTTGCCGGGACCCTGCCTGTCACCCGAAACACCCCTCCCATTCTCAGGACTAGGTCCCCAGACACCAGGGCTCCCTCCTTCCCTGGGAGTCTGTTGTTAGCCAGGCTCTCAGGCCCACTCCCCTGAGGCAGGCACCCCTGCTCAGCTCGCAGCAAAGCCCGGCTTCGGACCAGAACGTTGAATCTAGTGCCTGTGTTTTGCCCACTAAAGGGAATGCACAGAAGCGTCCGTCAGGGCAGGGGCTGCATTGCCCCAGGGTTCAGGCCACAGCATCAGTTTAGATCATCCCCCCAAAGGTGATTCGTGGGAATACTGCCAATGACTAACAGGCCTCCGGCCCCTGCACTCCTCTGGAACAATAACAATGACAGCTAATGTAGTGAGAGCCCGCCTTGGCTGCTGGTGAATGGGGCTGTGGTCTGCTGGGCCTGGCCTGTGGCCAGCCCCCTCCAACTCCCCGCTACCCCAGCACCAGGCACTGGGCAGAAGGCTTCCCAGGCAGGGATTGGCCCAGTCCTCTTGATGTCCGGGTGAGGCAGGTCCCCTCAGTCTCCATTTTACCCCGAGGACAGTGGGGCCCAGAAGGTGGCAGCGCTGACCTGGGACCTACCCAGGTCTGCCCCACAGCTAATGTTTGCACCTGCCACTCCTGAGCTCTCCCACCCATACCTCCCAGGGGCCTCTGGCCCGAGAGAGGCAGGGCTGCCCAGCCCTCAGCACCAGAAAGGGGCAGGCTGGAGCCTGCCGGCCCAGGGAGTGGGTGGGCAGGCGGCACTGGGCTGCCCCGACTTCCCCAGGGATCCACCAGGAGAGGGAGCTGCGGAGCTGGGCTCCTCTGCTCGGGGAAGAGCACCCGGGCCTGGAATAGAGGGCAGCAGCTTAGGTAGGAGCAGCCAGGAGGCAGCAGCCCCAGGCGGACCTCAGCCAGGGCAAGTTCTGAGCAGCCCCGGCACATGGGTCCAGAGGGAAGCGACCTCAGCAGTGCCGGTCACCCCACGGTCACCACTTCCTGGCTCTCAGAGCTGCTCTCATAAGTAGCAGGAAGGTCCATAGTGACGAGTCACCTCACTCTGCGCTCAGTGTGGTCCTGTTCAGTATTTTCTTTTGTAACATAGATGAGGACACCTGATAAGTTGATCAAATTGTAGATGATAAGAAACTAGAAAGCAGAATTAGCAGAAAGTCTGTGACAAATAAACAGTGGATGAGACCCATACAGGAATAAACTTGAGGTACCACCAGGAAGCTCAGGGTAAACTGCCTTCCAGTCTGTTGACTCACCTGCCCGCCTGCTGGGAGTTTGTCCGAGGGGCGTGCTCACACTGTGTGCGGCCAGCGGCGCACCCTGCTGGTCGTCCTTGATAGACGAAGAGCCCTGGGCGCCCCAGCGACCCTCCATCAGTCCCCGTGGGGCATCACCGGAGCAGTGAGGAAGGCGGGGGCAGGTACAGACTCCAGATCACAGCCCAGGTGTGATCTCCTGCAGGTGCCAGGATTAGAGTGAGAAAGCAGAGTGTCAAACACACGTAAGGGCGACGTCATTTGTGTTAAGATACACGTGCATATTTATTATTGGCATGTTTGTGCAGGTACAATTTTAAATGAAGTACGAGAAACCACAGCTCTGGTTTCTAAAGTGTTTACAAGTACCGGCAATGTTGAAAAAGTGTAGCTGACCCCCTGCACGGCGGAGAGCCGGGGTTTTGGTGTTTGGCGGCCAGTCACCGCGGATGATGCCAAGCGAACAAGGTATTGGCGCTTGGACGAGGCTGGTGCCGCCTCAGGTCGCATGAAGAGAGGAAGAGCATCCTGTCCTCCACTGCACCAGTCATGCCATGCGTGTCTGGGTCCCCTCGTTAGTGCTGAGTGACCCGAGAGCAGGGGGCTGGGCTGGCGGGCCACCAGCAGAGCAGGGAAGGGGACAGAGCAGGGCCCAGCCGGGAGCACCGACGGGTGCTCTGAGCGAGAGCCCCTGTCCCTCTCTGGGAGGGCAGCCAGGCGTGGCAGCAGGGTCCCAGCAGGTAGCCGGGAATTGGGTCAAACCCACGCAGCAGAGCAGGCGCTTGGTCGGAGGGGCCAGTGGGTTGAATTCCACGCGTGGCCACGGCAGGGCTTTGCTGCTCCTCGTGTGTGTGTCCAGTTTTCAGACCCAGGGGAAGAGGGCCTTTTATTTTTCTACTCTTCCCTTTTTATTTCTAATTTACTATCACCCAAGCATTTTTGCTGTGCGCTGTATGTACTGTAGTTAAAACGCTGGCAATACCTGAACAGTCCACAGCAGAGGAATTGACTTCCGTGATTTCAGCAAGCCGTGGTCTTCCGCGTGGCGGCACGTGAGCAGGGGCACAGGGACGGGCCCCAAAATGTGCCTGCTCCCGGGAGTCCCAGTAACTAAGATTGCTTTTCTCCGGCGGGGGATTAAATTTCTTACCATTGTTTGTTGTAACCTTGAGATCTCATAGCCCCATACCCCTACTTTGCCAGTTTCCTGTGCCTGTGCAGGTTTAGCACACGTGCATGTTACTCTGTCGCCTGCGGCCCGTGTTTTAGAAGCTTCCTTATAAACCGTCTCTCTCCTGCTGCGACTTGCTCTTCTCCTGCACGTGTTCCCGGGATTCCCTGTGTCCACGTGTATAGCTCTCGCTCGTTGACTCGCACCGATTTTTCCGAATCAGTTCTTCTCTCAGAGAGCCCCAGACGACCTCCTGCCTTTTGCTGTTCCGGGCCGCGCTCTGCCCGTTCTCAGCACTCTCTCCCAGTGTGAGGGGCCGTGCTGTTCCGAAGTCATTGCTCTAACCAGGATGCATTTGTTTTTCTTGAAATTGCTTCCCATCAAATCTCCCAGAAGCCTCCCCGCCCACCGACAGTGCCCGGGGAGGAGTCCTGGGGCTGGGGGCATGTCAGCAGCTTGAGAGGCAGGGGTAACACCCTGGCCTTGGGCCTGGTGGTCCCGTGGTACAGGGAGCTGGCATCCTGTCCTGGGACATAACTATGGGGAGGCCTTGGATTCCGGATCTCCCCAGTCCCGCTGCCCCTGTGCCCTGTTCCTGCGGGATCTGTGTCCTCTCGGTTCCATGTGGACCAGGGACGGTGGTGGAGGGCGTCCGAGCCCTGCCCCGTACTGGCCGTGCACTCACCTCTCTAAGCCTCAGCTCCCTTGTCTCTGTCACGGGGACTCTCCGGACCTGCCTCATGGAGCTGCCGTGAGGACACGATGCATGTGAAGCCTTCAGAGTGGTGCCTGGCCCACAGCTGTCACCCGATGGGCAGTGGTGGCTATTACTGCTGTGACCCCTCCCCCGACCTGCTCAATCACTGACTAACTGGTTGAGGCCTGGCCTGTCCTTTAGGGCCCACCCCTGTCCCCATCTGAAAGGTGAGAACATTGACAAAAGGCTGAGCTTTCTCTTCCAGGTACCTGCAAACCTTATGTCATTTGAGTAAGTCTCTACAGAACTTGGCGTGACTTCGGAGGCTTCCGGGAGCCCCACCTGGGACTGGTGGTGAGCGCAAGTCCTGGGCATGGGCCATCGGCCAGGGTGCTGGGAGACTGACGGCTGGACTCCAGGGGCTGTGGCCTATGGCCTCATGGTCCAGAGGCCCCGCCAGTGCAGGGGCTGCCGCCACTCCCCAGTGACTGTCGTGACACCCATTCAGCAGCTACACCCGCACTCCCTCTCTGGGCCTCGTCCATCCTCCAGCTGCTGCTGCTGCTGCTGCTGCTGCGACTCGAGAGCCCTCGGCCCATGTTGGGTCCCCAGGGCTTTCTCCTGCTCAAGAGAGTGGACAGTGTCAACCTGTGTGAGGGGCAGGAGAGCAGGGACAGGCTGTGGGACTGGCTCTTCACACCCCAAGTGCATGGGGTTGCTCGCCCACAGGGCTTCCTCGGATTTTGTACGACCCAGAAGCTCCCTCTGCGTGTGCGTGCCATATACATGTGTGTGCAGGCGAGTGTGAACTCTTCAAGAAACATGCATTTTGGCACAAGACTCGTGACATCGCTCATTCATTGGCCTGGAGGCCCTGCTTTAACCTTCAGTGACAGCCTTGTCCAGCAAGAAAGGTCGAATGAGAGCCCAGACCCCTCCCGTGTTAAGGGTCCCTTGCATTCTTTTACTGTAAACAAACAATGCCTTAAACCGTGTCTCGTTTTCTGTTCCTATGGGTGCTATTCATCTGGAAGGCCTGCCTCCTGGGCCTGGGTCCCTTCCAGGCTTGTTGGTGTCAGCTCTTCTGAGACAGGACCCGGCTTCAGGACTGCGGACTGGGCCACTGGCCTGCTTGCTTCCTCCCACGCCCTTCCCTCAGGGTCTGCAGGCCCTTCTCTTCCCTCCCCTCCCACCTCGCCCACTCAGGAGGCTGGGGCAGCCCTCCTGTTTCTCAGCCACAGCTCGGAAGCCGCCGTGCTCACAGCTCACTGCTGCACCACCTCTGCCTGCGGTGAGCCAAAGCTTCCGCTCCTGACGCCTCACCCCTCTGCCTCCACTGCCAGGGCGGGGCCCGGCCCGCTGGGGCCCCTGATTACACCAGGGAGCTGAGTGACACTGAGGCCTTAGGCTCCCCCAGTATTGCCCCCAATCCAGTCACCAGCAAGTTCAAGGGCACAATTGTTGATGGCCATGGTGACAAGAGAGCAAAGCCCTAGGGAGTGAGTGGCCGGGCTCTGTACTCAGTTATGAGCTCATCACATGAACAACATCCTATCTGTCACTGTCATATTTTTGAGTGACTTTTGTTTTGCACAAATACATTTTTATTCAAAATTATGAATAAAAATTAACTTTATTTATGGTAGCTTTATCAGCATGTCTTCCCCTCCCCGCTCTAATCTGGGCATCTTAATTCTGAGAAGGAGACCCTAAGACGGTGTTTGGAGAGAAGCCGTCTCTGAGTCCTTGTTGCTGTCACAGCTCCGTCGCTCCCACCAATCAGACGTCAGACCACCCAGAGGTTTCCGGGCAGATGCTCCAGAGCGACGTCTCAGCCGGTACGTGGTGATGGGTCAGCTGCAAGACAACCAAAGGACCCACCAGTGTGTTCTGACCCAATGATGACAACGTTTCTGAAAATGTGAATGAGTTGGTGAGGAAAGGTTGTCATCGGGGTCTTTTTCTGTGGTCGAGCCTCGCTGGGCTCAGTAATGAACCCTCCTTTGGAGCAAAGTCTAGAGTGCTTCCGTGCCAGGAGAAACCACAGTGGTCAAGGTGAGGCCATCACACCGTGGCCCACGGCACCATGTACACACCCCCGCAGCCGGGGTCTGGGTGCACGCACCTGATCCACAGTGACGGTGAGAACCAGCCTCCGGAGGCTGGATGAAGACACTGAACACGCCAAACATCTCTCACCAGAACCAGACATTTGGCTCGAACCTGCGTTCAATCTGATTCTGCCTGTTGATTTTTTAAGTCTCAGGTTTGGATGAACATGTAAGAACGGAACATCAGCAACATATTTTCCTTGATTTTTTCCCATTCTTCAGTTGTCCTGGGTTTTCTCACATGAAATAGTATAGATGTCAGTCCAAAAACCTCAGAATTTCAGGCTCCACTAAGTCAGATATTTTTTGCCTTTTACAAATTTTTCTTCTCTTCCACAAATGTTTTCTTCTCAGCCCATTTTGAAATAGCACAATCGCTATTCTTCTCAAAGTGTTTGTTAGTCTTTTCACTAATTGACACTGATCCCACATCCCCTCCTAGAAATATTCTTAGGTTGGATTCTTGAAGAATCTTTGAAGACCTCGTTGGCAAAGTCCCTGTAGACCTGGTACAAACCTTGAACTACAGGAGAGTCCTGGAGATGAGCCGAGAGACCCTAGGCACCCCCAGCAGGGGCTTGGGGCCAAGCATCTAAGTGAAGTGCAGATTGGCTTCCCAGCGTTGGAGGCTGGGCCCGAAGGGGCCAGGCACAAAGCCCAGGGGAGAAGGTCCACGGGTGGATTCTGACCTCAGAGGGAAGCATTTCTGGCTTTTGCTGTATGTCCATAGTGCACAGATGTTTGTGAAACCATTGAAGATGGTATGTCTTGCATGCATAGGCTATATCTTTTTTTTTTTTTTAAGCAAACAGGTCACGACATCCCCAAAGGAAACTTACAGAATGCTTTCTACAGACGGGAGTAGGTAGCTAGTTGGTGTCATTACAATGCCCAAGAACAGCTCTCTCACCTCTTCCTGGGAGTACTTTTCACCCCTTTCCATCAAACGTGTTTTGTAACTCAAGGTCAGCCAAGTGCATTCTGATGACTGAAATACTTCCTGGAGGATTGGTTTGACAGACAGCAGTAGAAACTGTTCTGAGCATGCTCAGTGAAAAAGTGTGTTCTCTTCTTCCCTGAGGAAGCCCAGTCATCATCCTGTCCCACCGTGGAACCTAAAAAGGAAGATACTTGAAGGGATTCTGTTTGGAAAAGAACCCCACTCTCTTGCCAACTGAATTTATAAAGCATTTCTTTTCTTGCCAAGATGGCCAGTATTTCTTTCACCATCTTCCTCCCACCCCCGAAGCCCAAGGCGTGCACCTGTTAGGACGCCATCTGACAGGTGGAGCCTCGAGGTCCTCCCACATCGCTGAGGCTTGTAGTCAGATGAACGTGGCCAAAAACACAGCCTCACTTTCAGTGATTGCATAAGTGACTTTAATCAGCCCCACATCACACTGGCATGTGGGGTGATTTCATGTTTAAGAAAGAAAAAAAATTAACGAGCCCCTTTGAAAGAACAGAGCCTCTGTGCAAAACCACCCATTCATTCATTTGCTCACTTCACTAGTGAGTGTTTTCTGTGTGCCAGGCTCTCCCCGGGGTTTTAAAGGACTGAAAGCAAGAGAGACCAATCCTGCCCTCAATGAGCTGACCACTCATCAAACACACAGCCCTCACACTGCATCTCCTCCAGCAAACCTCTGCCCGTCTTCCCAGAACCGAGGACACACCCTGCGCAGGTTCCTCTGCAGAGGCTTCGAGAGGCTCCACAGACTGAACAGCCTCTTGATCTGAGAGTTCAGGGGCAATGAGGACTCGCTGGAGCCTCTGTTGGTGCAGAATAGGCAGGCGCGGTTGGGCACTCAGAGGACTCTGAGGTGGAATGAGAGCAGGGTCAGCATGTTCACAGTATTTACTTGAGAGGTTGTTTTGGCTTTAATTTCATGTTAAATGCAAGCACAGCGTGAGCAAGAGCTGCATTTCCAGAGTGTTGAGACCCCGAGCCGTGGACCACCTCGCAGGCTGTGCAGCGGGGTGCACACCAGAGGCAGCCCCAAATCCCTGTCTGCAGCAGCAGCGCCATGGAGCATCGTTTGTTCTGTACCCATTAATGTGTCCACCCATTTCTGAGCAACTGTGAACATTCAATAATGAAACAATAGTGATTAATTTATTGTGTGGTGTAATCTTTAAATAAATTTTGTGCCAAAATGCATGGTTTTTCACTTAGCATTAAAAATATTGCATAGAGAGTATTTTAAGTACCAATTTCTTATGTATTCCTCAAAGTAAGTTGAAAATCAGTTTCTACCTTTTACTCCTTTTCTCGTTGCCTCTGTTGCCCTCTCTCAGGCTGTCGCTCCCCAGCAGACCCCTGCATGCGGTTGTGTAAGGACTTTCTCTAATTCTCGCCAAGTGTCTCACCCACCGTAACACTGGACATCAGCTCCCTGGGGTTCTTTAGATTTTGGTGAAGTATTTTGTTACCTCGGTCTTGTATCAAGTTGCTGTATTTTTCAGCTTGTTACATTGATAATAATTGTTTCACTAATTAAATACTTTAATGTACAAACATCTTTGTTTACTTTGAAATTAAATGTGTTTTCCAATGATTATTGCTCAATTTATTAAAGTCACATGCATTTCACTTAGTAAACAGTTGCTATACCAGACACGGACACAAAGGGGGTGTGAAGCGGCCAGGGCCCAGTTAAGAGGTTAACAGAACATAAACAACATGTAGGAGCAGGTGCGGGAAGGACAGTCAGCGCTGTGGGTACTCAGGGAGGGAGGTGGGGCATCCGGAGAGGCTTTAGAGGACAGTGGATGTTTGGAGATTCATTTCAGAGATCTCTGGACATGTGGAGGGTGGAGAAGGCAAAAAGACTGAAAGGAGGGGAAGCAGGATGGGGGTGGGAGCAGCAGCCAGCTCATTCTCACTGAGTGAAAAACTTGGGGGAGTAAGGGGACCCAAGTGTGAAAAGACACGGAGAGCAAATTCATCATGTTAAGCAAAAGCCAGGAACCCACTCAAGCTTGCTTTAAGAGGACAGGAGACTGCCGCAGAAGGTGGGGGAGGCTGTTTTACCAGGGTTGTCTCCGAGAAACCTGAGGGGAGGGCCAAAGTGGAGTCTCAAGACCAGAAGAAGAAACGGAAGGCCCCCTACGTCTCCCTCTCTCCCCTTCATTCCCTCTCCAGACTGGCTTCTTTGCTGCACGTTGCAGCAAGCAAGAGTCCTGGGGAAGCAGGTTCCTGAGGCAGCGTGCACTAGGGAGCAGCCTGTCCAGGCTGTGAGAGCCCCGGCCCTGCCTGACTCAGTTTCCCAGCTCGTGCCTTCCAGTGCTGCAGTGACCACTTCCCCAGGCATAAACTTCCCCCACACACTCCTCAGGCTCTACTCCACCACCCCACTTCCAGGCCAGCATGGCCACACTTCCCCCGGCCAAGACAAGCCCTGCTAACTGAGGGACCCTAGTGCATCTCCCACTCACAGTTTAGATGGCATAGCGGTCCCCAGCTTTACCCAGATGGGGTCGCTGCCCTCGGCCCCAGAGTAGTGTTTAAGACTCCGAGACCAGAGCATCTGACTTGGGGAGGAGGTGAAGACGGTGGGGTGTGGTGGTTGTCACACAGCTGGAAAATGATGCAGTGAAGACTTGAACCCATGGTTGGTAGCCTGTAAAGCTACAGCCCCCAGACTAATTGCGTCAGGCACCACAAACGACCTGCAGGAGACCACAATATGGCCTCTTGGTGGATGGAGAGATCCGCGAGCTAACGCCCACTGTGCAGTGGAATTCCCATTTCGCCTGGAAGGAGGGCATGGTACCCCTGCGCACAGAGAACCGGGGTCCGGGTGCTCTCGGAGCTGAGACAGAGTGGGCGGGGCCACGAGCGCGGGCGGGGTCAGGTTGGGAAGGGGCTGAGGGTAGAGCCTGGGGCCTCTGAGCGGTTGAGGAGGGTCACTGGAGTGAGTTCTGCAGTCTGGGCGCTTCGGAGAGAAAAGGCGGAGCCGTGCCTGTAGGCGCGACACGGGGAAGGGCGGCTTCCAGAGGAGCCGGTGCTTCCATAGAAAGGGCGGGGGGTACTGAGCCGTGAAGGAGCAACGCTCCAGAAAGCCGACTCTTGGTTGAGGGCTGGGACAGCGCTTGAGCTCAGTTAGTGGAGCGGAAGGTGGGTGCGGCCTGGGTCTGTGCTGAGGGGCGAGAAGCGGGAGGGGCGGGGTCGTGGACCATACAGAGTGGGCGTTCTGCGAGGGTAGGTTGAGCAGAGGTGAGGGGAGCCAGCACCGGGGACCCAGGGAGGCCGGCGCGGAATGGGCGTGGCAGGAGTGCGGGAGGGGATAGTGCGGGCGCTGGACCGGGCGGTGGAGCGTGGAGTGGGAGGGGCTGAAGTTCCGCGGCTGGGGAGGCAGGGGCGGGGCCTGGACCCCTCCAGAAGCAATGAGTGGGAGGGGCCGAGGTTCGGGGCGGGGCCTGGGCGGGGCGGAGGCGCGCGGGGCGGGGCGCGGGCTGCGGCGCGTGAGCCGAGCGGCCGGCCGAGCCCCGCCGAGCCCCGCCGAAGCCCGAGCCCACCCGAGTGCGCCCGAGCCCGCGGTCCCCGCCCGGGGCGATGGAGCCGGAGTTTGGTGGGGAGGCTGCTGCGCTCCTGCGGCAGAAGAGGGCGGCGCTGCGGCGCAGGGGGTGCAGCTTCGAGAGCCCCAGGTACCGCGGCCAGGAGGGGTGCGGCCGGGAGGGGCGGAAGCGGGAGACAGCCGCGTTGAGGGAAGCAAAAGGGGGTGACAGTCGGAGGGAAACAGGGGCTGCGAGACGGCGGCGCAGGGAGGGGTCGCTGGGGGCGGGCGGTTTGAAGGTATCGGGCGAGGCGCCGGGGCCGAGCGGACGGGGGTTGAGGGGGACTGGGGCGTCTGAGCGTCAGGTGCGGGAGGGGGGGGTCGCTCCAGAGAAGCACCTGGAGTGTCGGGAACCCAGACCAGACCAGACTCCCGCAAAGCGTCGGCTCTGTGGCAGGCCCGGAGCAAAGCCGTGGTTCTGGGCGGATTTCGGGCTGTGGCGAATGTTCCCTGCCTGCCTCTGTAAACCGCTCAAGGACAAGGTCTGGGAACAGCCCCAGTAAACCCCAGGAAGGTCTCCCTTTTCCCGGGAGCCGTCCTGTGCTGCCCCAGGACCCTAGGCGGCAGCGGGCTCCTCGCTCCACGGGCCGCGCACACCTGCTGCCTTGCGGCCCCGCCCATCCTGGAGCCGCGCGGCCCCCAGCAGGCGAGCCCCCGGGCCTCTCTGACCCGCGGGCTCCCTTCCTCCGCCGCGGGTGCCCGTGCCCCGCCTGGCTCCCTTCCTCTGGCCTGGGGAACTCCCCTGAGATGTTCAGTTCCTTCTCCTCCCTGGAACCTTGACCCACAGACACGGGCTGCACGGCACTCCCTCTGCTCCACGAGACTCATTCCCTCAGCGAGCATTTTCCTAACTTGGAGTGCCTTCTCCCGTTCCAACTAAAGTTGGCGCTGCCATTTTTCAGCCCCCCCCCCCCCACGCTTCTTCTGGATGACTCCAGCAGGCTCCGCACTAGACCTCCCGTCTTCCTTCTCCCTCCGCTCCAATCCATATCCTCACTGGCCGCAGGAGGGGTCTTACCGAAACTGTCAGCTGTGCTCCTCCGCCGCCTAGCCACCCCACCCCCACCTCCAGCCTGCCACCAAGAGCTCTCCGTCTCCCACTGCAGTGATGGGGACTGGGGTGGGTGGGAGACAAGGAGGTAGGAGAGAGGACTCGGTCCTCCCTGAGGCCAAAAAGAGGGTTCCCTTGCTCCGCTAAAAAACAAAGCAAAGCAGGATCCTAGATATGAGAAGTGAGGTCCTCGCACACCTCTCCTCATCCTTGGTGCTCCGCAGTGCTGGGCGAGAGTGTAAGCATCCTGAGAACAGGACCATTGCTGTCCTGTCCACCACTCTGTCCCCAGAACCCGGCTCGGGCCTCGGCCGTCAGACATTTACTCTCCGTTGAATGAGTCGATGCCTGACCAGCTGGTAATTCTCTTATGCCATGCTTCTTCTCATCTGTGCCTTGGCTCAAGTCATGCTCTTTTCTCTGCTTAGAATAGTCTTTTCTCTCCTTGTTGAATAATGCCCACCCCTCCTGTTTTGGGAGGACTTCCCTGGCCCTGAGCTCTGTGCTCTGTCAACAGTCCGTGCACGTGATGCTCTTCTACGGTGTGTAATGACCTGGGCGATACGCCATTGCCGCTAGACTGGGAGACCCAGACAGAAGTGTTCTGAGCTGTTCCAGTGCCTATGATCTTGTTGCTGGAACGTGAGGATAAGAGAAGGTGCACCCAGAGATGAGGGAGAAGAGATGAGCCCAAAGCTGGGTCCAGGCTTGGGGAAGAATGTGTTCATCAGCACTGGGCGATGGGACTTGGAGACCACTCTAGTCCCTGCAGTCGATACTGTAGCCAGTGGGCACTTGCTGCTCACGAGCACTTAAAATACAGCGAATGCAAAATAATAATAATAATAATACAGCGAATGCAGCTAAGAAATGCAGTTAAAATTTTATTCAGCCTTAATTAACTTAAATTCAAATAGCCACGCATGACTAATGTTTACAATATTAGACAGCACCAAATAGGAAATTTTTTCTTCCTCTGAATTCTCACTTCTACCACCCCCTCCTTGGTCCTCATGACCTTGTACCTGAAAGACCAAGTGACTTCTTGGCTTCCAGAGGGTTTTTTCCCCCTCTGTTTAACACTCCATGATATTATCATACACACCTTAGAAATAGTGATGACCACTTTCTGATGATGAAAATAATGTATGTTTGTTGGAGGACAATTTACTTAACTCATTCTTTATTGTTGTGTATGCAGTGTATCGCCAGGTTTTCATTTCTACTAAAAGCACATTGAACCCATGTGCATTAGCCTGTGTATGAAGAGGCAATCATTTCCTTAAGATAAATGTGTAGAAGTGATGGGAATTATTGGATCCAAGAAAATGAACACTTGGCATGATGCCAAATTACCCACTGGGAAAAATGGAGCGGTTCGCAGTTCTCCCAGGGACACGTCAGTGCTCCTGCTTCTACTCAGCCTGTGCTAGGCGTTGCCATTTGCAAATACCTGCCAAAGCTGCACCTTATTTTAATTTAAATTTCTTTGTTTAATTAGGAGATGAAACTGTTCTCGTGCTTATTTATAATTTGTATTTTTAATGAAATATATACATCCACTTTGTCCATTTTTCCTTTGGAATGTTTATGTTTTTTATTGGAGCACTTTTTATTTGTTGGGGGAATTTTTTGTCAAATACGTACCAGATATTTTTTGCAGTTCATTATTTGCTTTTTAACTTCGTTTATCGTATTTGTCGTTAAAGCTTTTACTATCTTTTTTTAAAAAAATAGTCAAATCTATTTATTCCTCTTGTTTGGGCTTACTTAGAAAAGACTTCTCTAACTTAAAGCAGATCAGTGTCCATCTACAATTTCTCCTAAGTTTTGGGGTTTAAAAAAATTTTTTTTAATTTCATTTACTTATTTTTAGAGAGAGGGGAAGGGGAGGAGAAAGAGAGGGAGAGAAACATCAACCTATGGTTGCCTCTCACACACCCCCAACCAGGAACCTGGTCCACAACCCAGGCCTATGCCCTAACTGGGAATCGAACTGGTGACTCTTTGGTTCTGTACAGGCCCACGCTCAGTCCACTGAGCTACACTAGCCAGGGCTGTTTCTTGTTGTTTTTTAAACAGAATCCCTGTTTAATCTATTAATGAGAATAGTCTTACTTTTAAGTGAAATTGTGAAGAGTTGTCTCCTATTGGACAGAGTGGGCTTTTGTTGCCAACAGAATTAACCTGTGAAACTTCTTAACCACGCATGTGTGTGGGTCCCTACCTCATGGCTGTTGTTCCAGAAAGGCCGGGGTGGTAACGGGTGTGTGAATGCTCCGGAAGTTCTGCAGGTGATTCTGCTGGGCAGCAGCAGTGAGAGCCTGTGCACGTGGGTGGGCACGTCGCCAGAGTAGCCTCCCTTACTCCAAAGTCCTCACTTAGTCCTCATTTCCTGTGGTATCGAGTTTAAATGCCACCGCTTCATGTTTAGAATCTGGTCTACCGGTATTTACTCAATCATCTCGTGGACATCAGGAAAACAGAGGCATTTCTTTCAGGATGGCAACTGTCTTTGCTAAGTGTCCCCTGTCAGCTCTGCTAACTGGCCAGCAGACGCAGAACATAATGCAAGTGAAGGAGTGGGGAGCGGCCGGGTGTGTGGCATCCAGGCAGGGGGCAGTGAGAGAGGCTGGCTGGGAAATCCAGCTAGAGAGGCTGGGGGCAAGGTGCTCATGCTGTGAAGCCACTTGCCTGCGTGTATGTGTCCCGATTTCGTAGGAAGGCATATCATAGAGCGTTCAAGAACCAGGGCTTTGGAGTGAGGCAGACCTGGGTTCAAGTTTCTGTCCTTGCGCTTGCTGTATGTGTGGCCTTGGACAAGTTGCTTAACTCCTCTGAGCCCCGAAGAACTCATTTGAAAAATGACAGCCAACCTGTCTCACAGTATTGAGCCGAGCTTTAGATGAGCTGATTTATGCAAAGTGCCGAAACTGATGTCTGGCACAAAGCATTCTAAATGATAACGTTTGCAGACAAAAGTGATTAACATTTATATGAAAGTTCTCTGCCTTTCCTTTCCTTTGCCTTGTTAAAATCCTAGCTCTGCCCATGCGGTTTTTCCTCCTTCCCTGGCGCCCAGAGCAAGGTACTGCCTTTCTTTCTCCTGTTTTTGAGCCACAGATACAAGAAGGGAGGCATCGAGGAGGCTGATAGGTATGCAGGGTGCTGGTTAGGACTGGCTGGAAAAACACTTTTAGGGGCTGAGTCAGACGAGAGGTACAGAAACACCTACTTTGTATGGGGGAGGCCGATAGGTCACTCTATTGTGTTTGTTGCTTTGAGATATATTCCAAAAATATATCTGTTATCTTTTGTGACTTTGTGGATACAGTTAATGAACCTGAGTTATTTTTAACTGCACCGCTGTAGCTGAGCATTTCACGGAGCCGACACAAGTGAGCCAGGGCATTAACAGGGTTACATACCAGCAGGACTGGCTTGCAAGGCAAATCCCAAAGATCAGAGAATCTCCATGCTGATGGAACCTGAGGCAGCCCGGAGGTCAGCCTCTGAGACGGCGGTTCCCCGGGGCGCGGTCTCTGGACCAGCAGCACCCGCACTATCCAGAAATCGGCTAGAAACACACATTCTCAAGCTCCAGCTCCAGTCTACTCACTCAGAATCTCCGGGGCTGGAGCTCAGGAGACCGTGAGAACCGGCGCTCTCTGGTCTGACACAGTGGTTCTCAGCCCTCAAGTGCGTGAGAATCATCGCTGGGAGGGCTTCTGGGCCTTACCTGCAGACACGCGCTACATCAGGGTGGGCCCGTGACCGTGTTTCTACCAAGCTCACAGGTAACGCCAGTGCTGCCGGCTCAGGGACGCAGCCAAAATGGATGGTCAAACCACTCCATTAGGGCAACGCTCGAATCTTTTCCATGACAGCGTTTGCAGGTGGCCATCCAGACTCTGTCCGTCATGTGTACCGGACATGACTATGTCGTAAGGCAAGCCTTTTGGTTACTGGGCAGCTCTGTTACCTTTCCCTGACCACAAAGGTGAAGCTTACCTCATTGTACCTGTCACCTGTCATTCATG